TCCTGTGAAAAAATGGGAGGTTTTATTGGAACTTATACAAGGAATTTATCCTGTGAAACTACTGTTTAACTCTGTATTACTTTTATATAAACGTCCTTTTCAGATTACGCGCTTCTGTTTCGGACGCATCTGATTGGCCACTTTGTCAAGACTTTTATTGTGTAGTCTCGTTTTTGGCTGCTGTAGTTTACAGTCACCAAAATTCAACACTTATAAACACCTAGATTCCATAATATTGAAAAACAAGGACTGTAATCATGCCATAACATTGAGTAAAAGCCTTACGGTTATTAATAAGCTAGGTAATAAAAGATCTGTTGTTTTTGCTGAAGCCTGTTCGATCAGATTAAAATAGCCAGATCTCTGTATACAAAAGGATAGAGTAGTTAGCTTAAGTCTACTTTGGTAGCAAACATTTATTTTACCTTAACAATTTCCTTTCCCTTCCGTCTTCTTACAATGTTTTGCCATGCCTATTGTATTATTATTTTATCTAACATACTGTTAGTATTCCTAGGATATGCACCAATCAGAAAACATTACTGAGTATGAATCTTGGTGAGGAGTGTTCAAACTACCTTATAAGTTTAAATCAGACATGTTAAAATCATTGTCATTTAGTCAAATATATGTTATATATATGTTAAATTTATTTATTTTTGTTTGCTTTATACGAAGTTTCCTTGTATTTCAATATTACCATATTACTACTTAGCTTACTTCAAACAATTCAAACAGTTGGTGTGATCACGGGCAGTAATTCTGCTCGAAATATTACTGAAAAAACCAAAGCTTATCATTGTGTGTAAACTACTGAAATATATTTATAAGTTATTTGATCGATTCCACAATGCTCAAACATTTTACTGACACTATTAGATACTCATAGTTGCATTAATTCTGTTACAATATCTCGAATTTATGTGTTAATATGTACTCTGATGAATATTATTCACTCAATAATGACGTTCACAGATCATCACTCACCACTCATAGATCTGATTTTTCTTCAGATTGGTACTAATTTGTAGTCACAATGTTCATCTGTTTGTATGTATTTGATCTTAGGAAGAAATCGTATGAATAACAATATTTGTAAAGAAGTATTCAGTTGAGGAGTCCTTTCAATGAGATTTATGAATTCATTAAATTCTGCTTTTTTTTACATTTCTTGCTTGTTTAAAGTCTATATATTGATATAAATTTATTAATAATATAGGTACTCCCTGGTTATTTGCAAAGTTAAAGAAAAAACAACGAAATGGAAAAACGACCTAAAAGACAGGACACAATTATCCGTAGAAGAGATAATAAAAAGGGTTGAATTCTGTCTGACAACATCATATTTTACATTTGACGGGAAAACGTCACAGGTGACTACACCATTAGTTCATTAAATGGTTGACTGTTGCTCAAAACGTCATCCAGTATATAATACTGTTTCACTATGTGATATATCTAATAAATAAAATAATATGGAATTACATACTACCACAGTGCCCAAGTTTTACACATATATTAATTGTTGACTATTGGTTTGATTCACCTGGGAAGACAAGGATTGCATGACTGGAACTTTCGATGTTCGTCCAGCCAATGGCCGAAGACTGTTGGTGTTATGACTGTGTTATGACTGAAGTGAATACGCCCGCTGGCAGTTTGTTATAAGTGAACTGAATAAATCCGTTGCTACTTTGTTATATCTGCACCTGTTAATTACTGTAACGGTAATGAACTCAACTGGTACACTAATATGCCTATTTGCCCGTTGGTCCTTCTGATTCACTGAGCCACGCAAGTACCAAAAGACAAAGGCTGGCCTTTGGCTGTAAGATATTGTATTATACGTCTATTAGGAAGCAAAACATGTATGTTTAATTTATTACAATACATTTGGCTCACAACTGTGAGAATGGACTGATCTTATACGCTAGAGATATCTATTCTGATTGGAGTTTGATCCGACAAAGACCAAGATGAGACAAAGGACGATGAATTGAACACACACTACATCACAATATGCGTGAGAAATGCTAGATCAACATAGGAACTCCATGACATGATAAATCACACGATTCATGAGAAAGGATGATATGCTATTTTATGCTGGGTCCTATCAGGCTCCAATTAATTATTCACAGTGGTACATATGTATGCTTGTTTTATCGTCGTTTAAATGTTGAGTAGCATCATGAAGCATCATTTAATAACTCTCTTCATTGCACTCATTTCTGCTGCAATGATATGTTCATTATTCACTTATTCACTTATTCTGAGTATCTTTTTAAGGTGTGTAAACTCTGAATGATGCACTAGCATGTATATTTCTAAAGTAGTAAATCAGTCAAATCTTATTCACTGATCAAATTTCTCAATTTCCCGCTGAAGAGAAACCTCAAAGACGGTGAAATGAAATTCACGAAAAGTCATTTCATCTTAAACTATAGCTGAGTGTGAATTTCTTTAGCCTACTGATCACTATCTATCTATTTTTAAGGAGTGTTTACATTAACACACTTTCCACTTAAATATGTGTTACTGTAATTAAATACGAATATATTTTTACCTTCAGGAGGCATGTATTCAAGCTCGCCTACTTTCACCACCAAATATCTCCATAGAAACTGTTTTGCGTACCTTACCAAAACCACCACTACCTGATTCTTCTAGAATGGCTATTCAAGGACTAAAGGTAAATTTTTTTCATAATAAAAGTGATATTTATTTATTTTGTAAAATGAACTATGATTAATAAGTTTTTCTAGTTAGAGTTGGTGTGATTTGCCGCAATACCATAATGAAAGAGACTATACAAATCACATTTTTACATAAACTTATGGCTTTCAACAGTTCACAGCTTAGGCTTGTATTACGCGAAGTGACTGCAATCGCCCACCTCAAAACTGATTTCATTTCATAGAAAACAGTAATGAAGGGTGCAGTAGAGGTCTCTTTACTGTGATCAACTGACTAATGTAAGACAGATGAGTCACTGAGTCTACGCGTATAAATTATGCTGATATCATCTGATGCAATATTTATGGCATGTCTTTTTAACACTATTTTTTTTGTCTTCATTTAAACTCATAATGTTGAGTAGCTGGCTGGAACATACTTTCGTTATTCACATAAATACCATGAATATCCAATTAGTTATTATTATTATTCTCTTTGGTTCCGGGTAGAAAAAAAGGCTTCGACAGCACATCTCCACTTCATCTTGTTCTCTGCAGTCCTCTTTATCTGGCTTCACGATGGCCCATAGACTGTCATCTCCTCCTAACACAATCTCCTCCATGTCACTCTTAGACCCAAGCGAAACTCATCGCTACCCATTTGAGTTCCACTCGCGTAATGGCTAGGGCTGCAATGTCACTCGATGCACTCTTCAGCATGAGTGCAATTCATCTCCATTTTTCTGCATATCTGTTGAGCTACAAGTTCTTGGTTTATAGTTTGTCATAAATCCTTATTGCTACTCCTTTCTGGCCTGCCTTCTGATCTTCAGTACCGAGTGAATGCAGCTGTTGATAAAAGTCTGAAGCCTGTCAGTTAGTTAGTTAACTAACGCTTACAAACCAATCTACAGAAAATAGTTATTAACTTTCATTTTATCACACACCCCCCCTCTACATTAAAAATATAAACGCTGCCTGAGATTTTGCATTATGAAACTAAAATTTATTCAAAATTGAACGTGTATATGAAAACAGTGAGATGTAAATATTCTTTTTCCGTTTATAAAAACCATCATTCTAGTTCAATTTTCTAGAAATAATGGCAAATTTAAACATTAAGCACCACTAACTACCAATCAGCGACTGATCTTGAACGCACCAATCACATGAAGGAGGCATTTTTGGTTATGGAATGTATATATTTATGAAAAAAATGCATAAAACTGTATAAAACTGTTATATACGATACCCTCCTCTCATATGTGATAAAAATATCTCCCAGTTGAGCAAAGCAGTATCAACTGAAAATTCACACCACATCCCTTACATATAATCATCTAAATGACTATAAATGACATCCTTTTGAGATCCATTAATGGCCCTAATCCAGTTTTCTACCCTTCGTCAAAGGCCTTCGATGGAACTGGTGTGGGTCCCTGTAGTGAAATCCACTAAAATCATTAGAATGGTTGACTCTGCGGTAAATGTATCCAAGGGATGACAGGAGTTATAACTTTTCTACTCATCTCTGTGTGTTGTAGATCCTTGTTTCACCAGCCGAGTAGTAATAGGTATTAACGTAGTTGACTTTCTATCTGCTATCTTCTCTGTAGAGAGGTATCATATAAACCAGTAGCTCAAACATTATTCTCTCTTCCTCGACCATGGTTGTATTTTTTATTCAATACGACAGTTTAAACCACGTGTACGATGACACCTTCTCCTGCTAATAATGAGGTAATTCTCTCCATTTTCCATGACGCGATATCTCTGCAGTGCTAGTACCCCTGAACTGTCGGTACGAAACTATTTTTAGTTTCAGCAGCTGCACCTCTCACAGGCTGTTTTAAAACACAGTAATTACAAATATGCAAAATCTGGATTAAGGACAGATACGACCTGACAAAACATGTCCCTACGAAATAATAGAGTCATCAGCTTACCTTCTCTGAGACTAAATGGTCTCAAACTAATTGCATAATGATGTACATAAGCATCAGCCGACCTGCTGAAGCTTTCTATGGTCATCACACCTCCACACGAACAAATCCTGTCTTTCATAATCAAACCTGCATCTAGCAATACCGAAAGGCTTGATTCTCACCAAATTACAAACGCAACTGCGTTAGAGCAGGCATTTGACTTGAATCAAGCGGAATAGAAGCTTCAACTCGAGTGAATAAATCGCATTCAACCGTTCAAGGTCAATCGTGCGGAAGCACTCCATTGGTAGTTAGTGGTGCTTAAAGTCTAACTTTACTATTTTTAACTTATCTAATAATTGTACTGATCTTTTTCTTCTATGGAAATATGTACTAGGAAATGGATGCACTGGATAGTTTTGAAGAGCTGACTGAATTAGGTTATCATATATGTGATATACCTATACCAGCACATTATGCGAAAATGGTTTTAGTTAGTGTTGTGTTAAAATGTCTTGATCCAATTCTAACAATTGCATGTATACTAGCTTACACAGAGCCATGTGAGTACAAATCTTTGTAACTGTTGTTACCTTTTACAATGACAGATAATTTTATGGTAGGATTTTTTGTTTCTTAATATTAGATTCTTTCTGTGTACAAACAATTTCAGTCGTTTTGTTTGAATAATAAGTATCTTAAAATTGCGCAGAACTCCCAATGAGTGATGCGAAATTGAAATCTACCTACTATGTGCGTCGGTGGCACAGCGGTTAGGACTCTCGCCGACCATGCACATGGTCCGAGGTTCGATCCCCCGCCGACGCACACCTGATATCTATGGTCGGCCTGCTAAATTTGGGCTACCGATATCCATGCTGAAAATTCCATACTTGTACTAAAATACTGTGTGGAATCAAGCTATAATAAAATAAAATAAGAAAATAAAAAATATGCCAAACACTCAGCTGGTACAGCAGAAATTCGAATAATTCATCCAGATATCTTCTGTAGAACAGGATTTCTTTTACGGCTGACTATTAACTTGGTGCACCAGGTGCCATCCTGAAATATTCATTGCTTCAGTATCTATATTCACTAGCTTTGTCAGTAATAGATTCAAGGATTTTGCTTCTTTTTGATACTTTTTTAATATTGATCTTGTCAAGTGAGACACCTATATCTGCTAGGAAACCTAGTGAGATTTTTTTGGGAAAAAAGAATACCTTGATAAACTGCATTTATTATTAACCATTTTCCAAGGTTACAATTAAAATTTTAGGTTTCATATTCAGTATATTTAGCATAGAGGAGCAGGATTGGACTACACCGACCCGTAGATTTGAAATAGGAAGTGAAGTGGTAGAGCGCGTTGACCGCTTCACTTACTTGGGAAGTACCATCAACCACAACGGGTTGATCTCCGACGAAATCTCAGCACGAATACAGAGGGCTAGTTTCGCATATGCCAGTTTACACCGTCTCTGGTGTACACCTTATATCCGACTATCGACCAAAGGGCGTGTGTACTGCTCGACGGTCCGCTACGTCCTCCTTTATGGCTGTGAGACCTGGCCATTGAGAGTGGAAGACATGAAAAGATTAGCTGTGTTCGATCATAGGTGTCTGCGTTCCATCTCCCGCTGGGAACGAACCAGTCAGGAAATTAATGGTCAAGAAATATCCTGAAGAAAATGGAGATGGATGGGACATAAGCTGTGGAGATCGCTGGGTGACATCTCGCGAAAGAAGCGGAGAAGATGAGAGTCTATGGTCAATCGTACAGCTCACCAAATTTCTGCGTGAATCAAATTTAACCAAACTTAGACGTTTTTATTTCACCTATCAAACAACCTGGTTTGTATTACATTTAAAGTAATAGAAATTTGTAGCTCATGGTTGGTGAAAGAAACTGTCTTTATTCCCTCAGAAAGCTGTTGTTCGATAGTGAACATTTCAACAATAGGCCTAATAATATCTTTAGCACATGATACATTAGAAGTTTGCTTATTCAAACAAGCATAGATAACTCTTAGGAGAACTCTTTACTAAGGATTATGACATATAATTGCGAATAGACTAATCAACATTCACTTAATGAATATATCAATTTTCAGAAATCTTTTAATTTACTCTGGTTTATATCGGAAATTGTCTTATTTAGTCCTTTCAAAGACTAACATTGTGCCTCTAATTGGATAGATTTATGAGAAGATTTGCAAATTATTGGTATTTTCACATAAATCCAGTCCAAAACGACAAGAATAAATCTACTCTACAGGAGAGATAAGAAATAGAGCAGTGGACAAGTGTATCTTATTAAATTAGGTGATACTCTGCAGATCTAAAACCAATATAATCATTCTACAATTGACTATCTTATAATGGTAACAAATCCCGATCTGGAAGTTGAAAAACAATAAAACTACCAGGAGGATCTAAGCATGAAATGGTATTATTCGTTAGCAAATGAATATACACTCTTCAAAAAGTATCTTCTCCATGAATTATACCTGTCTTTATTTCATTCGTTTCAGTTACAATACCTAGAAATGCTGGTGAACGACGGGATTTAATGAATGCTAGAAAGAAATTTTCTGCAGACACTTACAGTGATCATATGATGCTATTAAGAGCCTTTCAGGTAGGTGTAACTGTCGAAATATGATAGTAATTATTAAATAGTGAAATGTACCCATCAGGACATTAGAGAAAATAACAAGAAAGCAGTGGTACTGGGTTCGAACCCAAGCGGGAACACTGTCACTCACTATGGAATGCAGGTACATCCACAGGACGAGTTCCTAATAAGACAAAATGCTCATCATGGATTCCATCGCTAGTCATCATCCACCGAATTACTTCTAAATAACAAGAAGTCCAGTAAAAATATGCTTTTGGCGATTTCACCACTCAAAGCTGCACATCCGTATTTTTATTTATAAGTCCGCATAGTTACAATTGTTATTTAATTCGACAAAGTAACGGGGAGGGAATTATTACATCAGTCATTATTTCAGTTTGTTTCTAGGTAACCTCGTTCACACCATTCGTCACCAGAAATCACCACAAATTATTTTTCTAATCCAATATTATTTTAGAAAACAGAAAGACTGAGCGAAGAAATATTTACTTTTCAATTAGATCCCCATCTCTGGCTCTACTCTAATATACACGTATAGCATTTATATTACAATACACAACAGTTTACCAAACAAGTGGCGATATGTTTGTTAACAATAATTAGTCAGTGTCAACATGTCAATGGGTTGATAATTAACGAAGAAAATCCATACACATTTAATAGGTAGAAGTGGTTAGAATAAATTAATTTTTCAAGGATAACACATAACGATGGCCGATGCAAGCCCATCGCCCCCCTTTCCCTTAACCCTTAAGATTATAAAAACTATAATTGTCCAAATTATTTTACTTTTGTTTTGACCACTTCATCTTTAATTACGTGTTATTCTTGTAAAATTAATTTATTCTATCCATTTCTACTTTTTAAATGTGTATTGATTTTCTGCGTTAATTATCAACCCATTGACATTTTGACACTGTTTAATTATTGTTAACAAACATATCACCACTTGTTCGGTAAACTGTTGTGTATTGTAATAAAAATGCTATATATATTAGAGTAGAGCCAGAGATGAGGATCTAACTGAAAAGTAAATATTTATTCGTTCAACCTTTCTGTTTTCTAAATGTCTAAATGTGGATTTTTTTCAATGTTATTTTGTTCGTATGGCTCTTGTGATCCAAATTCATCTTTCATTACACCTTCAAACTTTCATATCAAGTGGAAAATTAACCCCCCTTCGTTACCATGCTGAACTAAATAATAATTGTAACCTATCATAGACAGTGATTACCCAGATCTACAATTACCTTTCAGTGACCCCCCAAGGGAAAATTTATTAAAAAGGGGACAACCTATCGATGTTAACTGTAAAGTCATGATTGGTGTATGCATTGATATGATAACCTGATTGAACAGTTTTTGATTAGTTCTGTTTTGGGGGTACAAGTATGAAACTTGAGCACTGTGGTAGAGTATAACTCTATTATGAATAAGATTTTATTTTGATAAATCACACACTTTTATACAAACTATAGCTCATAATCACATCAAGTTACGTCCTATTTGGAGGATCTTCAAGGTCATGCAGTCACTCAGATATTCATTATTTATTTATGATTTGAATTTCTGTGCATATATAACCGATATTTAAGCCCCGTATTTTGAATAATAAGGTGGCCGTTGTTGTTGCAGCTAAATCTGACATTTGAATCTATCTCAGCGTGGGGGGTTATTTTTCGTGGTTATATTTTCGTGCCTGGAGGCTCATTCTAGTCAAGTTAGATGACAACTGCAAAAACAGTAACACTCCGTTATAACATAACACTGAGAGCCTGTGTATAAAAATGCGATTGTAGAGTATTTGAGAATAAAATGTCCAAAAATATTTTTCTAGCTGAACTACGTACTTTTTTCTGTCCCATAATTATTATTTGCTTTCTTCTGAGGTTAGATTTCGTCAGAAACCGAAAAATATTAGAAAATAAGAAGCGATTATGTTTCATCCTAGTTTAGTGAGAATAAAACGCTCCATTCATGACCCGGGGGAGAGACCAGACTAAGCAGCATAAAGTTACCAGTGAAACGCATTTATACTAAATAAACCACTTTTAAAGTTCACTGTTTGCAACTTCTGTATATTGACTATGTAGAATCCCCTCTGGGGTTGGTCTATAACGAAATCAATCGAATTTCAGCAAACCTAACGTCACACTTTTTTTCTTTTTTGCAGTTCTGGCAGAAATCTCGCTCAGAAGGATGGGAGAAAAACTTTTGTCAAAAAAATTTTATATCTACTACAGCTTTCGAAGTTATCACAGCTATTCGGTAAGCTGTTCATTCCGTGTAAGAAACGTTCCGAGAATCATAAGCTAATTGATAGTGATTTTATTTTCAAATTAGCTTCATGAATAACAAACGAAGTCAGTCGACTCACAACCAACAGATCACAAGTAATTTGATGGATGGTAACTAGCAGCAGAATCCAAGGAGTTTGTTTCGTCCTATTTGGGGCTCGTCATCTGATGTATCTGCATTCCTCAGTGAGTGATGATGTTTCCACTGAGGCTCGAGCCCAGTACCCATCGTCCCAAAGTCCAAAGCATTAGTTACTAGACCACTTGAACTACATGGGACAACTCTTGTGTAGCGGGTGTCAGTTATTATTTCTTAATTCAATTTTGATTTTTCCGTTGATTGACTGGACTGGAATGTTCGGCCTCTTCTGACATGTTGGTCGCTTGTGGGAATGCTTCGACGATGTCTGAGGATTAAAATTGAAATACGTTGGTAGATGATGACCAGCAGTGGAATGCACGATGCGCACTTCAACCTTTCAGTTAACAGGGAAGACAAAATTAAATTAAAAGCAAATAACGATGGGCCATAATTTCAGAGAAACCTTCACCTATTGGCATTTTTTAAATTAGATTGTATTATCAACCTCAACACAATAATTTTATCTCACTGTCCGAACTGCAACTAAATAGACTAAGCTGCTACGCATTTTACGCATACTATTATTCATACAATCGAAGATTAATCTCCAATAGAGGCTCTACAATATTGGAAGTAGATAAGCAGTGTAATAATTACTGATAATAAACATTCCAACTATACATATTTTATGACAGTGTCATCTTTTGGTTTAAAGGCAGTCAGGAAAGTGTAATAAAACGAGGTTTTACTTCTGGAAAAATGGTGAATCAAATAACCACTATATCAGTGCATCAATTTGCTTTATAAGGGAATCACACATAAGGTAGTTGAGTGAATTTTCGATAATAAGATACATAGATTGTTCGATAGGAGGTCAAAATCTCGGGCGCGCAAGTAACTAAATGGTAAACAAAAAGGAAGGTGACTATAGCAGCATTCTACGTTACTCTTGTGCATTGAGCATTCACTACATGAAAAACTCTGTCTTTAAATTTATGCCTAAGATTAATAGGCGTTTCTTCCTCTGTTTTTCACTTTATATCTAAATATCCTGAAACTACAATCACCCTGTCCTACGAAATTGTAACATAGCTGGCGAAAAGTGGACTCTGCATAATATGTATTTTTTTCAAGAATTAGTTTGTAGGGATTCGATTTATTTCAGGATTGATTACGGATTGATATCAGTTAGGGAACCAATGGACACCACTGAGTCGGGTCCCGATGGCTGAATGGTCGGTAAGCTTACCTTGGAAGGAAGAAGCCCTGGCCTCGAAACATGGTGTGTGCGCGCTGCCGATGAGACCAAAGCTAGGCTGACAAAACAGCTGTTCAGTACTCCTTGGTTCCCACTGGTTCTCTAACTGATACCAATCCCTGATAAAACTTCAAATATACATATACATTTTTGTGTTGTTGAGAAAGAAAGGAGAGTTTACTGCTTCATATGATACTCCAAAAAAATAAAATCTGTGAACTATTCGATTGTTAAGTTAATTACCAATAGTCATATGCTCATCAGAAAGAAGGAATACAGACAGTGAGATCTAATCCACGATTTGCATCTTACATAGTTAGAGGTGAGAATTCACAACAAATTCATTGGGAAGCCAAAATTATTCGGATCGTAATACGAGATCAGCACTTGGTACCATGAGTGGCAATCAAGAAATAAAAGCGGAACAGTATGGCGATAGATACTACTGGTTGATATAAGTAGTTGGAAAGCAATGGCATTACGTAATAGTGCTTACTGGTTAGATTGAAGTGATCTAAAAACTTGACTGAAGTTTCGCTTCTTTGGAGTCACGTTCATCAGAGATGAATTCGAGATGACTCATTCCTAAGAGTAGAATCCTTTCGAACCACCTCGACAAATCAAAACAATCAGTGTTAAACAACCATACTTTTTTGTTCACTTTCTTGGCTGTCGCTTAGAGGAACAAGCAGACAGCAGACTGTCATCCGGAAATGTTTTCGGTTCCAAAAGAAACTATGGTGATTTCTCATCTCGAACTGTGTAGCTTGATTCTGTTTATTATTATTATGGCTCTCTGACCTGACTCAGTGCGAGTACACCACTAATAAACTGTGTGTTGAATGAGCCAGACGGCCTTACTGAATTCAGATGACTTCACTATGGCTGTTAAACACTACTGCTTTGCATGAGTAGTCTCCGGGTACTCAAATTAACCACCAGTATTTATCATTAAGTATAAACTCTCCAACTTATTTTGTGCTTCATCAATATTAACGAACTATAAAACTATGCTACTTCAAAAATTAATCGGTTTGACGCGTGTCTGGTATTAAATGAAGGAAGTATGTGTCTAACCAAGTATTCACCATGAGTATTCATAAATTCCGCTCCTATTCTTTTTGAGGATCGAACAACCGGTGATTTAAATTTCGGATATTTTGTTGCATGAATAACGAAACGCATTCACAAAGTGTAAAAACGTTCCTTAGAGGGTAGAGTAGAATTCTTTTAAAATATATCCGCTTATTATAAATTGTTATTTAAAATACTTCTTATCTATTTTGCTTAGTACACAGTTATTAGGACAGCTTAGAGCTTCAGGTTTTGTGAAAGCCAGAGGAAGTGGAGATATCCGAGACCTTAACAGTAATTCAGAAAACTGGGCTGTTGTTAAAGCAGCTATTGTAGCTGGTATGCATGGTAATTTAGCCCGACTGGATAGGAAAAATTCATGTTTGAGGATAGCTAATGGAAATAATTCACTGGTGAGTCCTATTTATAATTTATTTCATATAAATAATCCTTTTACAAGATTTTCATTGTAATGAAAACGGTTTCGACAAAGTATTATATCAGTTCATGTCACCATATCAAAGCAGTCTCAAACTATTCTATATACTGCAGGCAAATCACTGTTTATGCAGTAAGCTGGATATTACATCACATACATACTCCAACACATTCATCAACCTGAAACCAATATGGAAATCTTCGTCACTCAACATCAACAACAAAATTCGGATTTTCAATACAAACGTCAAGTCAGTTCTTCTATACGGATCAGAAACTTGGCGGGTCACAAAGAATATTTCCAACACGTTGCAGACCTTTATCAACAACTAAGTGTCTTCGCTCTACACTCAAGATCAGATTGCCGGAAAGAATCACCAACAAGAAACTATGGGTACAAACAAAACAAGAACCAATCGCCCAACAAATATTCAGGAGAAAGTGGAGATGGATTGGACACTCGCTGAGGAGGCCGTTGGGTGACATCGCGCGTCAGGCCATAGCTCGAGTGGAACTCGAAAGGGAAGTGGCGAGTGGGACGTGCAAGGGTGACATGGAGGAGATCGTGTGGACAGGAGTTGAAATAGTATGGACTAACATGGATGCAAGTGAAAAGTGCAGCAGAAGACAGAATCAAGTGGAGACGTGTAGTTGAAGCCCTATGTTCCACTAGAAACGCAAGGGAACAATAATAATATAATAATACATACTCCAACAGGTTTTTATCGTATTTATGTTTTCCGCTCAAAACAAAAAGCAGTTACAAGGCTAATAAAAACGAAGAATCACTAATTATCAAATACTGACTTCCAGGGATTTGATTGGTCACAGGTTTGATCACGAGCTGACATCAGTTAGAAAACCACTGGAAAGCCAGAAAGTACTGGACAGCTGTTTCGCCCTAGTTTGGGATCCTCATCAGTATGCGCCCTCCGGGATTCGAACCTTAAACCTTCGTTTACAAGGCAAACTGGCAGATCATTCAGTTACTAGGACCCGGTTTAACGACTCATGATTTCTAACTTCTGCCAATTCATGATATATATATATAGCAAATCAGCCATCCGATCGGCTCCCAGCGGTTGAATGGCCTACGAGGGAAGAAGCTTGGGTTCTAACCTCAGTGATTGCGTACTGTCGAAGCGTCTCAAACCAAAATGAAGCAAGTGTGCAAGAGAATAGCTAACTACTACTTACCCATGAACACACATGACAGACAGACCAAAACAGTTAAGTCTCGTAGTGAACAAGCTGACATTCATTAATTAGTTCAGAATAGACCAGGACATATTTCTACCCTCTGTGGATAAGCAAAATAATATAACAATTATCCAATGTTCTCCATACTTAGTTATCTTCACATATGCGTGACTTGATCAACCTCAGGCCCACTGAAAAGCCATAATTCAGATAACTATCAACCCCCACATGCCTATTATGCGAATTAACTCTATTCCCCGTATGTTGGGGACTAAATTGTATCGAACAATCTCTGAAGTGGAAACGAAAGATGTTGTGTGCTCTTAGTTTTAAATGGATATCCGATGTAATCTTCTCTCGTAGTCTAATCAATATTGGAGTCAAACCAATTCTCGCACATTGAGAAGCCAAATAGTGGCAATCTGATTAAGGGTTTCGATGGATTCTATTTTGTTTTAGGAAGTTACAGTTAATACCAGTAGCCCAAAGATGTTTTTTACCAAATCGAATATGAAAGGTATTTTGTGGTAACTCATGGCTCACGCCAATTCTTATTGTCACTTTATATGAAAGTGACTAACTGGTTTCAGCACAGAACTTTGTACTTAAGTAAAGCAGTTCAAGTTGCCATACTCTATGTTGCACAAAAAGGAAGAGAAAAGAGAGGAATATAACATTCAAAAATACAGTGATAAGCACAGATGTGAGGCAGAAAGAATAGTAAAGCGGAAAAACATTAAGGTTTTATTGGATATGGCAGAGCAAAAAGAGTGAATGCATTTGGGCCGTTGAGAACTATTTTGAGCCATATCACATATTGTATCCAGCTACTGGTTTTAGCACCTCGAGAACTCCAACCAGGTTGCCTTCACCTTCCAACATGGCTCAAATTAACTGCAAAGGATTTCATGTATCGAAGTTTGTTCTGAACCCTACTAGCTCTTTTCCAGCTTAATCCTGTGTCATCTAACACTGCTCGTCAAGGAAGACGATGACTGGGGCAATGTAGCACGTACTTTAGCCAAATCAATCGATGTTGCTTCACAATCTCATCGATAGATTTTCCCCCCTTACCTAACACACGACTCCTAACCTCACTCTTACTCACCGTATTACGCCATCTAACATGGGATATAGAACACAAGCATCCGTGTTTAAAAACAGCTAGCCTTTTCATGTCTCCTACTTTCAATGGGCATGCCTCACAGCCATAAGGGAAAACAAATCGAACTGCTGCGCAGTACATAGGACTTTTGATCGATAGCCAGCCAGATATCACGTCTACTGCAGAGATCATGTAAGTCAGCAGGTGCTACACAAGCCTTTTATATCGGTTCTGAGATTTCGTCAGCTATCGGCCCGTCGGTGATGATGAAAGTAGGTTGAAGACATAAACCGTTATATTCAACAATTTTACAAAGCAATATTTAAACATAACTGGATATTATAATCATCGTTTTGGTTAGCAGTCAACTTACCAAATAAACAAGCACTCACTTTTTATAAGTGTATCGTTTCATATTTTAGTGAGTGATTATATTTCTAAATTTTTACTAGATTACGCTTCACCCAAATTCCGTCATTGCTACAAATTCTGATGGAACGAAAATGGATTTGAACAACTTGCCATGTGATTGGCTTGTTTTTGATGAAGTGCTCACTTTAAGTAATTCAAATGTAAAAAATAAAATTTCAGCTGATGCCAGTGACATCTATGAGTCCACAATGTCAAGCAACAATGAAGCTCATTTCAGAAATACTTGTTTGAACAGCCAACAACAAAATAATCCCCTGGGCAATTCTACTGAAAATAATAAAAGCGACTTGAAGATTATAAAATGTGCTAGTATAATTTCACCAATCACTGTAGCACTGATGGCTGGACCAATCAGATTATGGCCAGAAATGATTAAGGAATCTCAGTCAAACGTGAACGGTAGGTGATTTTCTAAATTACTAAAAACTAACTTATCAAATATTCTTTTTTCTGATCTGTTAACGAATCTTAGTAGAATGTTACTAACACGAAAGATTTTTTTATGAAAACGATGTGAAAGTCAATGAAGGCAATATTAACTTTGATCACGAACTGATTTCAGTTAAAAAACCAAGGAGTATTAAACAGCTGTTTCATCCTAGTTTAGGACTCTTCATCAGTAAGCATTGGTGGACCCATTAAGGGTTGAGTCCGCAACCTTCAGGTTATGGGGCGAGCTCATCGACTATTCAGCCACCAATCCAGGGGTTTCAACTTTTACCAGTTCCCTTTTTACAGCTAATTTGTGTCCTTGGATTCGGATTCGAAGGGGGCGCCCACTTTGACCAATGTATTGTTTATTACAGTTTATACAGTTTATTTTGTAAATAGTATTAATTGTATCTCCTTTTTCTGTTGGATCTTTTCGTTTGCACAATGTCGAATGAAGTGATTGTGTTGACTGGTTTATGTGCTATATCTATTTCAAACAGGCTTAATATTCTAGATGTTATTTCAGTGATATTTTTTCTGATATGTGGTAGGATGAATTTCCTTGTGGTCTTTGATGTTGGCTTGTTGTTGGTGTTATGGCTTGAGTGTAAACACTTTTTGATGAAATTGTGAGGATATTGATTCTTCTTGAAGACGGTTATTTTGTATAGGTATATATACAATATATCATCTATTCTTGTATTTAGACTATTCAACTGAAGAGAAAAAAATATTTCCAACCTTTATTAATCTCCGATACTTAATTATAAATACCCAGACCATCGATGCTACGAATCCGCTGGAATAATTTGAACACCAAATCAGACTGAATCACTATAAAATTATTTGAAATAATCCCAGCGTATATAAGAAAAACTTAAAACAAGATTTTCCTGAAAGTTCCGCCGTGTAAGCCACAGCTTCTTCATCAGAATTACTCGGATTTTAATAACCTTCAAAATATATAGTCAAAGAAATTGCATAAATTGAAGTGAACTCTTCTGTAGGTAACTTATCAATAGAGATCCTTACCGACACGAAAATGTAAACAGTGATCTAATGTCAAAATGTTATACGTGCATATTTATCTGCACGGGTGTGTGTATATTGTTTGTTATGTGGAAAACATATCAGCACACATGTGAAAATCATGATAATATTTTTATAGTGGTCACAAAATATGAGTACTGGGTTACAGCCTCATTAGGAACACCATCACACACTGGGGACTGCAGGTACATCCGGATGACAAGTCCCAAATAGGACGAAACTAGCATCCTGGATTCCACTTCTAGTAGCCATTCATCAAATTACTTCAAGTTAATCCTCAGACGTCGTCAAAGCATCCCATTAGGAGCCGACATGTAAACAGAGGTCGAACATTTCTGATCCAGTCAGTCGGTGGAAAAATATAAATTAAATTAGAAATAAATATTCACAACATAAGACTGAATTATTTTTTTTCATCCGTTTTGCTTCATCAGAGCTAGCCATATAGGTGACAAGTCTGTACCTTCTCTCCTATTAACCGCAATCTAGATGGTTAAAATATGCAAGGCTTCAGATGTCAGCCTTTCTTTATGTGAATGAAAGCCTTTTCCTAGAATTTCGATATTGTCAAAATCGATATTATGTTGGCTTTTTATAGCATGCATTGCTATAGCTGATCTTTTTTCAAGACTCTTCAGTTCCACTTCATTTCTAGGTGGAAGTTTCGTGCAAAGCCTATGTTCATTCACTCTGACCTTCAACTGTGTACTACTTTCCTCTACATATAGAAAGTCTCACATTATGAATATTTTGTCCGGTAGATAGAGTTGTTTTGTGTTATTTCAGGAAATATATCTTTGACACCCACCTGGGCTTCCCCTAAAGAATTGGAAGGCTTGAAATAGACTTTAATATTATATGAAGCAAGTACTCTTTGAAGCTGTTCAATCATATCCTTTTGATATGGAATGGCTATCGTTGACAGTCAAGATTTTCCAAGCTTCTTTTCGTTCTCACCGTTTCTGTTGATAAAGTTATTTTAGAAACTTTTCCGGATAACCATGTCCAGTCAAAATTTGTCTGATATTGGAGATCTCATTCTCCATATCTTCGTTATCTGTCGTAGTGTTTCTAGCTTTGCTTATGAGATTTAAGGCTACTGAAACTTTCATTCTTATCGGACAACGATCAGATTGGAAATTCAAATATTTGTTTGAATGCGTCGGTTTCCTGTATATCATGAACTTTAGTTTTATATCAGTTTGTCTTTTTACATTGCTAAATTACTTTAAAGATTCTGTACATGATTATTTTGTCAAGCGAAATGTAAAGCTTCAGTGTTCTAAGGCGGTATGTGATACAGTCCATGATCCAGCTGATATTTAATATTCCTTTGTGAAAATCTAGTTATCAGGCTTCTCGTAGGACTGTTTCCCAAATAAGCTTTTTCTTTAAAAAGAAATCTTCATGATTTGACTTCATTTTCAACAGATAATATAACTGTATCACAATTTAGTTGTAATTCAAAGGAATTTAATCTTTACTTTCAGCTACATGAAGCTCTTTATCTTAAGTGATTAAAATCATTTTTTATTCTTTTACATTCCCAGTGGAACATAGGGTCTCAAGCCAGAGCTTTTGAATTTTCGGTAGCAGTGACATTTATTTTTACGGGATGGGTTTGCTAGCGTCATGCCCAACCATCCCTATTTACCAGTCGTACTACTGGCTCAGCGAGATAAGGGAGTGCGTCGACCGGGGATTGAGCCTCAGACCACATGAGGCGTGATCGGTGAGCAATCTAACGCTGTGCCACCTACGCAAGTGATAGAAATCTAGTTATTCTAATTTAGCTTGCTGCACGTCTGTCAACTTCCTAACACTGCCAAAGCTTTAAAAGAAAGTGACTGAGTGTGTATGAATTATTTCCTGATTATTAAAGCCTCATAATGAAACCTACTTACTCATCATCACCAGTTCAATTCAGTTAGTATCTTTCCAAATATTAGGCAAAAAATCGTCTTGCTTATATATTTACTTGCAGTGACTTCTTATCTTAATATAAGGAAGATTTGATCTCCTTGAGATTGTTTTTAGGTGCAAGGAGTCAGTTATATTACATCTGAGGGATATTTATAGACATGATGGAGAAGATTTGTAGCTCAGGTGGATGATTTTGATGTGGTTGTGTTCTCTGATCTGGATGGCTAATTTGCGAAGCTTTCATCACCCTACTTGGCGACATCTTCAGCGCATACTTCAATTTGATGAAGTGAGCTTTTAGATTGCTCCTCGATTTCATTAATCATCCCTCCTGGTGACCTTGGACGTGATTAATTGTTTTTGTGTATTTTCACACCTTCTAGGTTACTTGTGTTGGGACTGATTGTTTCCTTGACCTGAGGCTTGATTCTTTGTGTGTGAGATTTGCTTCTTATCGGTTAGTAAATTTTGTCGATCTCGATGTGTCTATTGATTGATGATTCACTGGAATACCAAGCTTCTAAAAATTCTCTAACATTCTTGCTGTTTCCTCTGTCTAATATTTGAACATTGTCCCAGTCGAATTGATGTCCGTGGTTGTCTGTATGTAGTGATATGAGTGAGGGAGTGGATATCATGTCTTTTGACAGCTAGCTTATGTTCGTGGATACGAAGACGAAGAGGGCGTCCACTTCGGCCAATGTAGTGTAGTTATAGTAAATTAATGCATAAAAATTGTTGTGTGATGATTATAATGACAGGTTCTATTCACATACAAGCCAATTGTATAACACATTTTTAGTTTATGTCGTCATTATTCAAAACTCAAATTATTTTTTTATCTATAAATTAATTTATTACATAGGCTTTAACCCTACTAAAATACCCACAGAAGAAGCAAAACAGCAAAGGCAGCAGAATTTAGTCAAAGAAATCCATCAGTGTCAGACAGTTTGCAGTAATACAAAGAATAAAAATGAGAACAATACCAATATTATCTATGGTAGTGCTCAAGAAGGATATGAGACTGAATCAGAGTCCGATTCGGATTCAGAAACTCAGGGGATTGTTAAATCTCTCTTACAGAATAATAATAATAACAGTAATAGTAATAATCATAATAATAGTCAATTATCACGTATTCATATGAATATTCGTGAAGTTCTAGGTGAAATAATACAGCAGAAAACAAAAGCAAATAGCAATTCAACAGACACAAAGCCAAAAGTGGATACTCCACAAGCACCGACACAACCATCAGACCCTATCATGAATCTATCAACAAATTTCAATGCAATAAATATTTCTGATAATAAGCATAGTTTGAAGTCGTTACCTATTCAACAACAACATCAACAACAACAACAAAGTCAATTAATTCCTAATCTTACGTATTCATCTGTGGATCGATCTAATCCTATCATGTCAATGATGTCATCATCGTTATCATCAGCATCATCAACATCAACATCTGCAAATGATCAAACAAACAGTAACACATCATTTTGCTTAGATTCAACTGGATTTCTGCGTTTCATCCTAAATTCAAATGAAGCTCAAATGGTTATAGGCTTACGACAGAAATGGCATGCATTGTTCTTACGTCGATTAAAGAATCCTGGGAAACAATGTTCACAACAAGATGAGGTAACATGAAACCATTCTGTTGAGTTTTATCTAGCTTAGGATTAATTGTTGAATTACTTTAAAGATTCTATGCATGATAAGCTTGTCATATAAAACAGGTAAGCGCCTTCAGTGTTCTAGCGTGGCGTGTCAGATAGTCATAATCCAGCTATCCGAAACTCGTGGATTTCATCAAGCTATTAAATGTAAATTACTCATCTTACATCCAGTACATAACCAACTTGACCGTAACAACCAACAGTGAATACTGTGCATCACTTTCCTTTTTGATTGTTGAACTGTTTTACAAAAATTTAGTCATCACTTAGGTCATTGTAGTGCACTGGATTATGCGCCAATCTGTGGGGACTGAGAAGACAGGATATACGCTGGACCACCGATTAGAAGGCTGTAGAGGATCTGGATTTCGCAGAGGATATATGTCTAATGCCAAACAAACTCGAAGACTTACAGGCGGACACCGAAAATCTGGCTGAAGAGGTAGGCTTTCAGTGAAGACAGGACTCCAGGTGAACACGGAGAAGACGGAGGTGATGAAGATAACCAACGGACAGCAACAGCAACAACAATCAGCACCAATTATCATCGACGGAAAAGATTTGACTGAGGTTATTTCCTTCACTCATTTGGCCAGAAAGCACGGTTTCAACGGCAGGCTACATAACGGATGAAGATGTCAAAGCTGGCGAAAATCGCAAAAGCAAGATACGCCTTCATCAACCTGAAACTAATTTGGAATCCTTCTGCACTACACTCAGCCAGCCAGCCAGCCAGCATAAAGAACAAGATTCGGATTTTCAACACCAATGTCAAGTCGGTCCTTGTATACGGGTCGGAAACTTGGCTAAAGCGTCACGAAAAGGATTTCCAACACGTTACAGACTTTCTTCGACAGCTGCCTTCACTGGCTCCATACTGAAGATCAGATTGTTAGCCAGCCAGAAAGAATTAGCAACAAGAAACTCTGGCAACGCACGAACCAATCAAGGACCTATTGACCGAAAAATGGTGAGGAAAATCGAGATGGATTGGGCATACGTTGCGGAGACAGCTGAGTGGCATCTCGAGCCCGACCATAGCTCGAGTGGAACCCGAATAAAAAACTACCTGTAGGTCAACTGAGGATGAGATTGCGCGAAGTGGAGACAAGAGACTATGGTGAAAAAGTACAGCAGAAAATAGAACAAAGTGAAGACGTGCTACTGAAATTCCACTCAGATTCTAAGGGAACAATAATAATGTTATTTACATCATAGAAGAAATAAAAAAATTATTAAACCCACCCTCCCAATGCTGACCTGTAGACTATACTAGACAGGGTAATTCGACAAAAGCACTGAGCTAAATTATCACAGCAGAACTTTGCAAAGAAGTGTATCAGCTCAAGTTATCACACACCACAAGTGCATTCAAAGGAAATGAAGAAAAAAATACAATGCAGGAACAATAAACGGAAATGTACGATAATAACAATTATTATATTTTTCTAGAATTTGGAATATCACTAGAAGCGAATATAACTGCTTCAGTGAAAAAAACTTTGAGCTTAGACACCAACAGACTCAAGGACCCCAACCAGACTGGCTACACAACCCTACGTGGCAAAAGCTAACAGGTAAGGACCATGTGCTGGTACTAGGTTTTTATATGATAAGCACACAACTTTTTTTCAATCTAATCCTATGTCAGTTATATGATAATGCCATACGCCAAATAATTTACAACGGAAAGCTCGCCGATAGGAGTAAGACAAGGCTGGCTACTATCATCAATGATATTCCTAATTGTGGTGAACTGGATTATGCGGCAGATTGTGGGGAACAAGGAGTCAGGCAAACGTTGGACCTACAAAAAGGACTGTAGAAGATACGGACGTCGCAGATCACTTATGTCAAGTGTTTTACAAACTCAGAGATCTACAGGCGTAAACCAAAAAGTTGGCAGAAGAGACTGGTGGCAAAGATAGAACTTCAAGTGAACATTGAGAAGATAGAGGTAATGAAGATACCTAACCAATAACAACAAATGCTAATCACCATTAATCGGGGAAAGTATTTCCAACACGCTATTTCAGACCTTCACCAATAGATGCCTTCGTCATCTTAATACCGGTTATCAGATGGCCAATCGAACGTGAAATTCTGACAGCAAAACATCCAAAAACGTATTGTTTGCTCTACAAATATAAAGAAGGAAATGGAGATCGGTTGTACATAGGCTGAAAAAGCATTCAAGTGATACCATACTTCAACCAGGCCTCCGAGTGAAACTGTTCTTTTCAGAAACAAAATATGAAGTCAGTCCTGTCAAGAGATCTCAACAATGTTTTGTTACTCATGCATAAATAATCTACTCAATAAACATTTAGAACAGCAGTATTTCCAAAAGTCTGAACCTCAGAAGTTAATCCATTCCCAGTTAGAATACTGATTATGTATTTATTCTCCATCAAATTTCTATGTATCATTTTATTAGCTGAAGATTGACCACTGCCATATTCCTTAGCGTCAAGCTCCTATTCGATTCACTAAATGGACCTGTCCTGTAGATAATTTCATAACTAGGTATCACCGAAAAGTTCATTAACCATGGAAAACTCTAATGCAGAATGACATGAAGTAAAGAGTGATCCCCATACATTTATTTCCCCTTTATTAATTTGAATAAAGCAAAAACAACAGTTTGTGCAGTAAATAATTGGCACCACCATTTATTTCGTTGGCTTCCCATCATCTGCTTACAGCCGAAATAAATTATCAACTTTATGTACAAAAACGTTTTAAAATACTTGCAAATTTTAAATGATGTCAGTTGACAGGACTTAGTCAACAGTGTTCATAAAATTGCGCTTATATAGTTTTACACAGGGAGTTCAAGTGTAAATAAAGTAAATGTATACATATAATAGTAAAGGAGTTTCTTCATAAAGACGAGAAGTGCATAAGATAACGAGTGACCAATAAATTGGGTAAAAATGTAGTAAGTTCAACTCAAATCATAGAGACAAGAGACAAGCAAAATTACACTATATCAAAGGAATGAGAGGCTACAGACAAAGATTACATAATCAAATGAAAAAGAGAGTAAAGATATCCCAGTTAGCAGGACAAGGAAAGACTGATAACTGCCTCTTTCTGAACACATAAATTGAGTTGCGGGCGTTTGATAGAGGTTGACTGGGCAAACGTGAGAATTGAGCTTTTTTGTATATTGATAATTTTTAAGAATTTTGCGATTTCCACCTTATTACCCGTATAAAGGAGATGTTTGGCGAAAGCGCTATTAAAAGAGTTTCTTCCCTTGAGACGTAGGCTTTTCGGTACGTGTTCAGAAAATCGGAGATGTGCGCTTCTTTCTGTTCTCCCAATGTAACTGCTCCCGCAGATACATGTAAATTTGTATACACAGTTAGATTTAACATGAGAAGGGCATCTGTCGACTTTCGATTGCACCGAAGAGCATGTTGTCCGATAGACAGGAACCAACTTAGCTGCAGGAGAGGCTCTGGCTAGTGATGTACTCAATCTTCTCTTGGCCATTGCTACAATATTTTCACCTTTAAAATCTAGTTGAATGGAATCAGGCTTTTTTCCACTGTGAATTGTTTGACACAAACTGTTGCTTTTGATTTATTATAAAGTGTGATCAGTTGAACAAAACTGCTGAGAAAATCAATAATTTATGTTACTAGATGAATTGATGTAAGTTATTTAGTGAGTCATTACCCATTTGTCAGGGAGTGGGCTATGAGCCATATTTGTAATGTGAGGCCCAATGATACTACCCAGTTGCCCAGGATGATGTAGGTACAGAGGAACTCTGACCATGCATCCTCTGAATTCCAAGTGCTTAAGCCAATGAACCACATCTCGACATGAACAACTGACCTAAGACCACATGACCCTCTCCCAGTTTTTTTTCCAGTTTATCAGTTACACATATGCAGAAACCACTTCGCCACAGACAAGTACATCTCATGAGTTTGTTGAAAGTTTAAGTATCATTTATCAAAGTCAAACTCATTAATACTGATGACGTTTCAAAGACATTTTATTGATCATAATCATAATCTAATTTAAAATCACACTCTGACACAATATCTAAATTCAATTTCTTTACTAAAGTCAAATGAAATTATGCAAATGCTAATATAAGAACTGCGAAGTCCAGAGGTTTTAGGTTTGATCCTTTACAGTATTATTACTTCACACAAACAGTTAAGCGTCGGGTGGAAAAGATGCCTAGCTGTACTCTTCTTTTAGTGTTTGTCCTACTAATTCCAATGTTCAATTGTGAATACCTGAAATTTTATTAATTATTTACAGTCTACTAGACTATAATATTGATTAAGAAGAAATTTCATCAACACTTACATTATAAGTAGAATCTGATAAGTAGAACCAATTGATTAGTATTGTAACGACAGAAGACAAGGGTCAGGCAACAGATCATTTATTGAGAAAATCAAGAGATGTTTATAGACTTTTATGTGCATTATTATTAGCGTTATTGTTAGCGGAGAAGCAACCTCTTCTGATTGGTTGTTTTCTTGCTGAAGGTTATTCTTTTACCCCTTCGTGGCCGTTTCTCAGAAAATCAAGCCATACATCTGTGAATCATATTCCCACACTTTAACTCCGCTGTGATTGGCTGGTGATTTTCTCAGGGTTGAGCTTTGTTATTGTTTTTCTCATGACCCTGATCCGGGACTTAAACATTGACGTAAATTGTTGTCTACAATTTTGGCTTGCAGACAGCTCTCACAACAGTATAATTCATGACTTGTTCCTTAACACTTGTATCACCCTATTTTATTTAGGCGGTTCTTAATTGCTTGACAAATGTTTTAATGGCTGAAGAACAAGCACTGGGATTAAGACAACCATCTGGTGTTGGTGCACGTCCACGTCCAATGGCAGCAGAACTATGCAATCAACTTGATTACTCACAAAATGATACTTCTCAAATTCCCAAAATCTCCACTGAACAGAGTATAATTAATAATAAAATTGCCTCAGCTCATTGTATCACAACAGAAAGCAAAGCACCCATCACTACCATTACTTCTCCAAATACAAATCAATTAGATCAAGATAGTTTAAGATGTAAATATCCCCTGTTTACACGACCAAACTATGCATCACAAATTACAAATTTTACTCTGTTAAATGACTTCAATAAAACGAACAAACAGGGCTCATTTCAAGCATCCAGAAGTGAACAGTATATGGATAAGCATACGTCGATAGCCCCAGTTATGGAAAACACAGGAAATACAGGAAGGCTGACGTCATTTCCTACTGCAAACAATAGTCGGTGTGATTGCCAAGCTTGTAGTGACAATCCTAATTATGTATTAGCAAATCCCTTGACAAAAGTAAGTTAAATTACTGTTGATGTTTTTTTGTGGGGGAGTGGGGTGGCAGGAAACTGGAAACTGACTTTCTCTATACATTTTAATAAGAAATACTTCAAGTTCAATGGGAATTCAGCATGATAGCTAATAGCTTCTATATCCATATGATAAAAATGTAAATATTGATAAAAACACTTGAGAAACACGTTTGTATTGGCATAGATTTTACTAAGCTTATTTGTGAAAAGGGTAATACGAACATACTCAAGGGAATATGGAAGCTGATAATTATCCAAGTACTTATGGAACATGAGAGATTATTACTTCCCAGATCATACAGTACACTCCCCTTATAAACTACTCATGAAGAGCTGTATGTTAGTCTGCTTAATTACCTGATGGTCTAATTGCTAAAGGAGATAAATGCTGAATAGGTTACATCTGTGGAATGAATAATCATACTGTTTACAAACACTAGCAGTACATGCTCACACACGCACGCATCCTCACTTCTTGATTTTTCTATAGTTAGTTTGTAGGGATTTAATTTGTTTTAAGTTTGACCACGGATTGATGTCAGTTAGAGAACTACTGAAAACCAACAGGCAGTACTCGACAACGGTCTTATCCTAGTTTTGGACTTATCATCAATGCATACGCACCGGGGTTCGGAACCAGAAGATCCCAGTTACAAGTCAAGCTAGTAGACCATTCAGCCACTGGGACCCAATCCATGGATTCTAACTTTTACCAATTCATAAATTCAGTGAGGCCGACCACCAGTCAGTTTGATCAGAGAGTATTTATTGTCACTTCGGACCTGGTAGTGCACCCCAACGGTCACAGTTTGTCCAAACAACTTTGTTTCCAGTCACTAGCTTACTGCCGATGAGTCCTAAGCTAGGACGAAACACCTTCACCATACTCCCTGGTGACTTTTGAGGGTTCTCTAACTCATATCAATCCGTGATCAAAGTTGATTTTTTTGTCTCTTATAACTCCACTGTGGATAAATTATATATTCTGTTTTCCCCTCCTTTACTTACTGTTTCTTTTCTAGACCGACTACTTTTATCACTGATTGAATTTAGATATGCAGTTTGGTTTACTAATGAAATTATCTCCGCAAATATTCGCATTGATTGCGCTTCTTTCTACCCTTAATTTTGATATCTAAGTTTGAAATAACCGAGAAAATTTGTGGCTCAGTTTGACGATTTTGATTTGTTTGTGTTCTCTGAGCTGGTTGATTTAATTGGGAAGCTTACACTGTCTTTTTCGACAACATCTTCAGCACAAGCTTTAATATAAATTGAACTTGTTTGAATTCTTTCTCCATGAATGACAATGGAAGCTGCTTAGCAATTTAAATCAACCAGCTCAGGGAACACAACCAAATCAAAAAGATATCTGAGTGGCACAAATGAAGTATTCCTGAGATTACAGAGATTAAAATGTAATGATAGATAAGGAAGATTGAACAAAAACACAGCAGGATAACAATTTAGGTGAAAATTGACCTTTTGCACAATAAGGAATTAAAAATGTTGGACTGCAGCGCGATTTGATTTGTTTCAAGTTTGACCACAGATTGATATTAGTTGGAGAACCATTGAAGACTACCAAGGAGTATTGGACAGCTGTTTTGCCCTAGTTCGGTACCTGTTATCATTACGCACCCACTGAGGACGAAGTTGCCTGGAGTTAAAGTGAGAAGTTGTGACCAGTCTGGAGTGAGGGCAAATACTCACTGATCACATTGGCTGTAGTGCCAGTCGCGCTAAAATCGCAAATTGACAGAAGTAAGAATTCGTGTACTGGATATTAAGTTGGGTCGCAGAGGCTGATCTAGGAGCTTGACTTGTAAGTAGAATGTCCTAATTTCGAACCCCAGTGGGTGCGTACTTCAGATGAGTCCTAAACGAGGCTGACGAAACAGTTGTCCAGTACTACATGTTAGTTTTCAACGGTCCTCTAACTGATATCAATCCGTGGTCAAACTTGATTAAAAATGTAGAAATATCACAATGGACAGGAAGTTCGGATAAAAAAGTAGTAGTGCAAATACGAATTTAAAAAACGTATAATTAACAGAAGAATCTACAGCTATCTAGTTGGTAATTTCATCGAAAAGAAAACTTTTTCTTCTTCTTCACTGCAATCATCTTTTTAATATTTCCTTATAATCAAATGTGTATTTTCCACGATTTCTGCTTTAGTTGAATATTATGCAATCGGAAGACAAAGGCACTTCATCAATAAGTAATTTGAACAGCAATTTTTCAGAAACACCTATTCACATTTCATTACATGGAAATCAAAATTCTTCTCTTCTTAGTTCATTAGTCAATTTGAACAGAGTGAACTCATTGGAAATAAAGCAACAACAGCAACGCCAACAACAACCATATGATCATAATGAAATTCAGAATAATAATAATAACAATCAAATGAGTCACCATCATTCGCTTAAATGGGAAAGTATAAACTATTCATCAAATAACTTAAAAGAATCCTACAGATTAAATAACTTAATCAGCAATTTTGCTACTTTATCATTCCCTGCTACATCTATTACTACTAATAATGATAATAGTAGTAGTAGTAGTAGTAGCAATGCGCTGATAAGTGATCATTCCTTAAGCAACTTAAATAATCGATTGAGTGTAACACAAACAACAAATATTTGGTCGTCAAATAATGAAGCCGATTTTAAACTGTTAAATTATGGAATAAACAAGTGATGACATAATCTATAAAGCAATTTAAAAAAATATGTAAATTTACAATTTATTTATTGGTTTCCACTTTGAATCAAAGGAGTTAATTGATTAACCTTTATTCGTTTAGAGAATTAACTTTTGTCATTAATATAGTTCGTGTTATAATTTCTGATTGAGTTTGAATGTGTTTTTTTCAATAATGATTTAATTGCAATTGTGATTATTCTTTGTCAATAAGAGGTTTCTTTAAACAGCGGCGAATATTCAGTCAGTAGCAATGGGATTGATTTCACGGTGTAGAGTCGCTAGCTTTCTAGGCTTGAGATCACTGGGTATTTAACTACGCTAAGTTGGACTGACTGATTGACTGGTTTCAACATAGAACTTTGCACCGGTGTGCAGCAGTTCAAGTCGCCACACTCAATGTAGCACACAAAGCAAGAGAAGAAAGTAAAAAGAAATGCAAAACAGAGACAGTAAACACAGATATGAGGCAAAAAGAATAGTAATATCGAAGAACAATGTAGTTTTATTGGATATTTTAAGTCACAAGGAGTGGATGCATCTGCGCCAGCCATTGAGAACGATTTTGAGCCATATCACCAAGTGTCTCCAGCCTTCATTGGTTTGTGTCATCCCAAGGACCCCAACCAGTCAGGAATTCTAAACCTCCCTATGTGGCTGGTTGGCTTAAACTAACTGTTGTAGATTTCATTGACTGATGAAGCCATGATTTGGTTTGACCACCACTGGCTCTTTTCCAACCTGATCCTATGTCAGCTAGCTTTGCCCGTCAAACGATAGTTAGGGATGCTTAATACATCGCAATGGATGTAACTTCATAACGTTATCGATTGATTTCCCCTCCTTACCTAGCACTCGACGCCTAACCTCAAGATTGCTCACCCGATTATACCACTTCACACGGGAGATAGAGCGCAGGTACCTATGATCTAAGACAACTAGCCAGACTTTCCATGTCTTCCGCTCTCAATGGCCATGTCTCACAACCATAAAGGAGGACGGAGTGCACTGCTGAACAGTACACATACCCTTTGGTCATTAGCGGGATTTCATGTCTACGCCAGAGACGGCGTAAACTGACATATGCGAAACTAGCCCTCTGTATCCGTGCTGAGATTTCGTCAGAGATCAACCCGTTAAGGCTGATGCAACTTCCCAGATAAGTGAAGTGATCAACACGCTCTACCACTTCACTCCCTATTTCTAAACTAGGAGTCAGTGTAGTCCAGTCCTGTAGCATCATCTTACATTTGGCGGGAGCGAATCGCATGCCAAACATTCGAAGATTGCAGCTCAAGGTGTTCAGAAGACTCTGCATTTTGTCAGCGTCTTCACCTCACCTAGGAGCAGGACTATGTCATCTGCATATTCTAAGTCAACGAGATTATTCCCTGGTAGCAAGTCAATCCCTGAGTCTCTGAAGTGAGTTGGGGTTAAGTCCATTAGAACATCTATGGTGAAATTGAATAGAAATGGAGACAGTGGGCATCCCTGACGGACACCAGTAGTCGTCACCATTTCAGATGACAACTCACCATAAGCTCTCACCTGGCTGCATGAGTTAGAGTAGAGTACCTTGATCAGTGCAATGTATTTCCTCGGCATTCCATTCACACCGAAACATTACCAGCATACCTCTCGGTCAACAGAATCGAATGCCGCCTTTACGTCAAGAAATATAGCGACTGTTGGACGCCGGTAAATATGCCTATGTTCCAGAGTCTGTCGAAGGGTGGAGATATGATCAATACGTCCTCCTGGTCTAAAGCCTGCCCGATTATCTCGTGTTGGACCAACAAAAAGACTCCAGAGCACCTGAACTTCGAGGATAACTTACGTTTAGTGCCACACAGACTCGAAGATCCACAGGCAAAAACCAACAAGCTAACAAAAGAGGTGGCGGAAGCAGTACTTCAAGTAAACACAGAGAAGAGAGAGGTTTTAAAGATACCTACCCAACATAACAACACACACTAACTATTATCAACGGGAGAAGATCTACTGTACTCAGGATAAGGAACAATATTTCAACTTTTAACAACAATATAAAGACGGTGTTTCTGTATAATTCAGAAACTTGACGCACATGTCACCGAAAACATTTCTAACAGACTGTTGCAGCACCTGCCTTCCGTGTCTCAATCCTGAAGAACAGATGACTGGCTAGAAAGAATAAAGGACAAGGAACTCTGGTAGGCAGGCAACGAACCAGCCCCAAACTGATCGCACAACAAATATGCAGAAGGAAATCGAAATGGATCGGACATATGCTGAGGTGATTTTCAAATGATATAACACATCAGGTTGCCCAGTGGAATCCAAATGGGAAACGATGCGTTAGGCGTGGGTCTGAGGGTGACAAGGAGCAGATCGTGTGAGGATGAAATGAAAGCTTATAAGCGATCATGAAGTCAGCTAGAAAGGACTGTAGAGAACGGAGTAAGACGGAGATGTGCTGCTGAAGCCTGATTAATATTCCATTCAGAACCCAAGGAAGTAATAATAACAGTAGTAACAAAACACTAACATGAAAAAATTAGTTGGTTATCTACTATATGTAGTGGACATTATATTTGCGAAAAAAAACAATGAGCTGAAATACACCATAGATGTTTGAAAGAAACTAGAGGGTGACTACAAATTCCCTCTGTTATGACCGGAACTACGACCTAGTAGACTATCAGCGAATACTAACTTGATGCGCTGGCTAATCTGTCCTAATCGCACGTCAACAATAATAATATAAACCGTCGGGCTGCAAAGACAGAAGCGAAGACTGGACGTTGGTAAGAGAGCTTTTACTGTCTCAAAACAACAGTCGAAAAGGTTGACAGAGCTTGTGTATATATATACATATGTTTAAAATGACCTTGAGAAGCACTAATGTCATTGATAAATTAAGACAGTGAACAACCAATAGGATTCCAAAAGTCATAAGTAGGGTGAAAGTCAGGTCATAAATCAATAAGTGGGGTGAGAGAAGTACAAACAGACATGAGGGACATGGGAAATTAGGTCTGTATATATCACTCTCCCATTCCAAAAGCAACATTTTCAAAGAAAATGAACACCTGCCCGCTGTAACTTGTGGTAATTAATTATTCTTCATTCGAAAATCACAGTATTTTATTTGAATGTTTTATCTTAATACACAAATTTAAAAATATTTGGATATCAAATTAACAACTTCTTAGATTCTACTCATATCTTGCCCAACTCATCCTAAACTTGATCTCACTCTAGCAACCACAGTACATCAGGATTGAAGTCGCTCGATATACACATGATAGCGTTGATGTAAAAAAACTGCGCATTAGTTTGCAGCCTCGTTTATATATCTGAGAATGGAGATAGTAATGAATTTATCCTCCAAGTACAAGACGACTATCGGAATTATTTATGCTGTGTTTAGAAGATGCCTGTGATTGAAAAACAATGATACTCCACCTTCACTAAACACAATCGTCTCCTGAAGACTAGAATTCGGGCACCATGGCAGAGTATAATTCCATAATAAGTTTATTTGGTATGACTATCTATGAGTGATACAGTATTAACAACTAAGAGACGTTTCGAACATAACTTATTGCTCATAATCATATCAATATATTCACACGACATCAAAATTTTCTTTAATATGTGTTTGTCTCTCTCCCCACATCACTTTTCCACACATCCCTTAAAGGTGTTGCGTTATTTCGATTTCAGGTGTTTAGCGTTCATTCGATGAACTGACGTGAAAAATATCCCCGAAATAACGCTCATGTAACTCGGACCAACCCTAATGTCGCCCTCATAAGGTTAACCTAACCCTAACTTCATCTTTCCCAAACCTAACCTGAAACTTGCCACATATCCTATTTAATAATATAACACTTCATTAGGTATATTTTATTCATGATTACGACATTATTTACTTTTCACTAACTTTCTTACTGAATGTTTCAAGGTCATTGTGGCAGTCGCACTCCATCGGTACTAACTGGTGCTTAAAGCTTAACTTGGCCTGATTATGAGCAATAAGTTGTGCTCGGAACGTTGTCATCCAGTCATTAATACTGTACCACTCACTCACTGTGGTATATCAAGTAGACGTATCTAATCTAAAATCGTCTGATGTAGTGTACACCTTAAGAATATTTACTATTTATAGTTATAGACACTTAAAACACCATATCCAATGATAATAATCATGCATTTCACCTACTCCCAAATGACTTATTTTTATTATTTATTATTATTATTTTATTATTAAAAAACGTTCTTTATTCTAAGCAATCCATACAACTTTTGAACAAAAAGAACCCCCACACACACACTAGCCCAAATATCATACACAGAAGTAACAAGAGAATATCGCTATTTCATTATTTATTGGTTGCAAATATTAAAATACAAAACAAAATGACACTTTATACATATATAGGTGAATAACTGTACAAATATTGTAACTTGAAGTTAGTTATATGCGGCAAGCAGTTCAGTCACTTTCCTCCTCATCACTGATTCTCGCTCGAACCTTTTTACGTTGACGAGGTTCGGATATCTAATCGAGGGGAAGAAAACGAGATATTAGTTAATCTGCGGGTTTCTAAAAACATACATATATATATCTTCATAATTGATTCACTATTTTATGATCAGGCATCGTAGTTATTCACAGAAATGATCACATGTGTACATTCTACACCTGAAGGCCATCCACATTTTTATTATTTGTTATGAAATTGTGTACAGAAATAATCCTCAGCTATTGTTTACTGACTCATGTCTACGTGCATTAACTACATCAGGGCTATAATAGATAGGGAGAACTGTGTGAGGTACATCCACTTTCCCGTTGTCCACACAGTGGACGTTAATGTCATGTTCTACTTGAAGACCAACTAGTTTGGTGTGACAACACAGCTCACAAAACGTCTGTCTCGATTCGTCCGTATCCAACTTAGAGTACTACGACTTTCGTAGGTTCCCACATAAGAATAACCTTACTCGCC